GAAACAATTCTGTTCCTGATCCTTAAGTTGTAAACATGGTCATTTCATTATGATGATATATTGATATGCAAACTTAAAATGATCTATTTTGTGTGATGGAGTATTGTAGTTCCTTCCCACTTAATGTTATGATAACGTAAGGAATTAATGGCTTACAAATATCCACCAACTTCAATTGTATTAAATTCAGTGGACTGACATCTAGCTACTAGGTGCAAACCTTGATTTGATATTTTCAACCTCTGGGGTAGCAATATGGAATGCCTTGGCCAAGACATTATCAGGCAATGCTGGTGTGGCTGAAAACAAGGAGGCAGTGACAGACTGAGTCCTAGCGAGCTGGCTGTTAAAGGCAGCAATAACAACGGCAGGCCCCTTCCCAATGTTCTTCTGGTAATGGAGCAACCCTTTTGGGAACACAAATACCTCACCTTTGTTGATTTGTTTTGCCATCAACACATTTGCAGTGGTTATGAATCCAACCTCTATCTCACCTTCCAGAACGAAGATCACCTCAAACACACGTGGATGCAAGTGGGGAGGATTGATCCCACCATGGGCGTAGTCGATGCGTGCTACATATATATCAAGTGTGTTGAATCCGGGGACTTTTTCAACATTCCCTAAGGTCACCGCAATCCCCAAGGTGTTGTTGTTGATCGGGCATGGGTTGGCAAGGGCAGCAAAGAAGAAATCATTCGGAGTTACAGTTGCAGCATTCTTGCAGGTGTGCCCATTAATTTTACATAATCTATGGCAATAAAGAAATGGATTCGCAACGAACCCAGAAGAGATCTGGGTTCGCGACGAACCCAGATCGTCTTTGGGTTCACGCCGAACCCAGATCTTCTCTGGGTTTGTGCCGAACCTAGATCGTCTTTGGGTTCGTCACGAACCCAGTCATGGCCAAGCTAATGAGGGGGAAGGGGATGAGGGGGAAGAGGAGGAAAAATGGTTGGAAATGGTGGCGATGGCAAGGTGAACAAAGAAAGCACAGAGGAGAACCATGGCAAGAAGAATAAATTAAGGGCATTTTAGTAATTTAATATTTAAAGAATTGAAAAATATTAAAAAAAAACAATTAAGTTTGACTTGGCATACTCCACCTAAACTAATTGTATGAGTTGTCATTTCCACATCATTAAAAAGTGCCATTCTAGAATATTTAACTGCCAAGTATCACTTAACTGATAGAAGGATTAAAATTGTGCAATTTTTAGAGTTAGGGGATCAAAAAAGTGCAAAATTTTGTTAAGGGACCAAAAATGTGCATTTTGTAAAGTTTAAGGACTAAATTTAGCATTTAACCTTTCATTTTTCAACCTTGTATAACGGTGTTAATGCCATGTTAGCATTTTGCTAACACCGTTAGTGCCATACCGGCACTTTCATTAACGGATATAAAGGGAGGGACCACAGTTGGCGTCTTCTCCGAAGTTAAGGGAAAAGTTGTCTTTTTAGATTATTTATTAAGACAAATTACATGATATCATCATTTATTAGAAATTCATTTGCCCTCTCGATCTATTTTTAATGAAAAGTTAATGTGTAATAATCCCATATGTTAAATAATTAAGTGATTTATTTTAATCAATAATTTAAAAATTAATTTATCTTTATTTTTTTAAAATAAATCTATCCTTAGCCTCTTATTTGGGATGGCTGGGGAGGTTGATTTTTTTTTTTTTTTGGTGGTAGGACAACAATGACTCCTTTTATAGAAATCAGGGACTTTTAGTGGCATTGTGTCAATGGTCAATGTGAAAGAAAAGAAACGCAGAGTTACAAAAGGTTATATTCTCCACAGGGGAAAGAAGGGGGAGGGGCAAGGAACAAAAGACATTAGTTTAACCACCATGTCAGCAGCCTGATTAACACTCTTAGAGTACAAAATAATTTTAAAATGGGAAAAGGCAAAAAATACCCAAAAGAAAGTATCTCTGAAACATTGGAGTAACTAATTCCTCCTCCCCCAATATATCACATGATTCCTCTAGGGAGCCAATCTTATTGAAAAGCAACAGTATACCCCTTAAAGGGCAAATCAACTTGGGTACACTGTCAAGGGTTAATACTTCTGCTACTACGGTTTCTTCCTTGTGAAAGAAATATAACATTATGGTGTTCCTTCACATGAACAAAATAATATCCTCTGAATGACAAAGCTTACAATAACTAGTGAACAGGGACAAAACATTGCTACACAGCTACAGACCCCCCAAACGAACATTATACTGGTTTTCAATATCTCTCCCCTGTTCATGGATGGTTCACAGAGGCTATGCTCTCCACAAATGCAATTCCTTCACACTTGTCCGAGTCATCACATATACCAACTTTTTCAAGCACTTCTCCTCTTTCATTAAACCTTATTACTTCCTTTGTACTTCTTATCAATATAAATGCATTGTCTTTTGAGGTGCACATGCATAAGGGTTCATAGAAAACCTTGTGTGAGACTGAGAGATGATGTCCTCCATAAAGGAAAGTGTCATCTGGGTTTAGAAGACGACACAGTTTAGTCCAAGATGCCTCCACCCCATATTCCTTCATCACCCATAACTCAAAAGGATAGGGGTCAGAAAAACAAGCATAGATCAAGCAAAGGCACCCTCCAAGAACGCCCAACCCGCTGTTGAAGTACTTGAGATAATGGGAGTGGGGAGGGGTTGGAACCAGGTAAAATATTTCCTCCGCTAAATCAAAAGCAGTAATAACTTCATTGTAGTTCCTATCACGAATTGAGCGAGTTCTCCAATGGATTCCTCCATTCAGAAAGGTCGACCCAGGAAAGGGTTCAAAACTATTTCTACAGAGGTTGTGCACAGCCTCATTGATTTCTCGAATGATTTTCCAAGAATTTTTTTTCAGTGAAAAGATTGCAACTTTTTTCTGAAATTGAGGCAAAGGCTCAAGATAAAGCCTTTTGACATAGGTGTAATCCGTGACTAAAACAACTTTATAATCATCAGAAAATGAATCGTAACCAAAACCATATGCATACCTATTGCCTTGGGGACTACAAGCATCTGGTAACTCGTTGCAATCTCCGGTGGAAGGATTCCACAGGAAGAAATCTCTGCTTCGAGAAGAAACCAAACAAACCAAACCATTGCAGGAACCCACGATTCTGAGGTGGGGATGGCGTGTTTCCTCCGGAAACCGAAGATCAACCACTGAATTTCCATCAACCTCAAAAGATTCTTCAGGGTCAAAGAACATGAATCGAGACGATGTCGATAGAAGCGCTTTCTGGGAACATAACTCGGGGTTCTGAATCGCCCGATTGAAATGGGTCCTTCTGAAAAAGGGATCGGAGATGAGAGACCACCACGAGCTGGAAACCAACTTGAATCTCACCAGAGATTTGACAGGAAGTAATAGGAGTATTTCTGCGGTAGTATCCCGAGGGAAGGTCCGCGGTGACATCTTCAATTCGATTTAATCTGAGAGAAAGGTTTGGGTTGTGGGGTTTTGGCGATGCATAGGCGTTTTCTGTTTGATCAACAGGGAGTTAACTGAAGCCAAAATTGATGGAGGGACTGCCAATCACCTCACAGACTTGGTGACAAACCAGCCTTAATAGGCCAACCTAAACCAACAGCAACATCTTTCTCTAAACCGCCACCAAACATCTACAGTGTAGAGAAGTCATTGGCGGCGATGTGTAAACATTCTACAAGAATTTCTTTCCTGTAAGGAATCGCAATTAGGACAGAAGCATCTGGTTTTGCAGTACGGACTGCAAGTCGGAAATGCTTGGACGTGGACCGACATCATATATGGTTAGTTCTAGGTATTTTATAATTTGGATTGTAAAACATATTTTTGTTCGGACATGTGAATTAATTATATATTCTTTTATAAAAGTAATTGTTAAGAAATTAGTTGTAATTAGATATTAATAACTGAAAATTTAATTTTTAGACTAGATGAATATTTCACCTCTCAAATGAGACGCGTTGGCCATTGACCGCTTTGGTGGAGTTCAAATTAATTATACTATCTTAATAGATTATGAGTATAATTAATGTAGTAATATTTTTTATAATAATAATTAATTTGTATTAAAATAATAAATTTATTTTAAAAGATAAATATTAACTTTTAATTTATTTACTAATCAATTAAATTGTATAAATATCATCGGCATTAAAATTAATATGAAGTTATTAATTTATATATTTTTTATGTAAATTATTTTTAATCTTTCAAAATAATTATTTTTTTAGTTTTGAATTTATTTTAAATTAATTATTT